ACAAGAGTTTCCTACAAGAGTGTCCCACGAGAGTGTCCCACAAGAGTGTCCCACAAGAGTGTCCTACAAGAGTGTCCCACAAGAGTGTCCCACGTGCCACAAGAGTGTCCCAAATGGGTGTCCCACAGGAGTGTCCCACAAGAGTGTCCCGCAACAGTGTCCCGCAAGAGTGTCTCACCAAGAGTTTGCAACAAGAGTGTCCCGTAAGAATGTCCCACAAGAGTGTCCTACAAGAGTGTCCCACAAGAGTGTCCTACAAGAGTGTCCAAGAGTGTCCCGTAAGACTGTCTCACAAGAGTGTCCCACAAGAGTGTCCCGCAACCGTGTCCCGCAAGAGTGTCTCACAAGAGTTAAGAGTGTCCCACAAGAGTGTCCTATAGGAGTGTCCCACAAGAGTGTCCCACAAGAGTGCCCTACAAGAGTGTCCCACAAGCGTGTCCTACACGAGTGTCCCACAAGAGTGTCCTACAAGAGTGTCCCACAAGAGTTTCCTCCAAGAGTGTCCCACGAGAGTGTCCCACAAGAGTGTCCCACAAGAGTGTCCTACAAGAGTGCCCCACAAGAGTGTCCCACAAGAGTGTCCCAAATGAGTGTCCCACAGGAGTGTTGTCCCGCAACAGTGTCCCGCAAGAGTGTCTCACAAGACTGTCCAATAAGAGTGTCCCACAAGAGTGTTCTGGAACAGTGTCCCACAAGAGTGTCCTACAAGAGTGTCCCACAAGAGTTTCCTACAAGAGTGTCCCACAAGAGTGTCCCACAAGAGTGTCCCACAAGAGTGACCTACAGGAGTGTCCCACAAGAGTGTCCCACAAGAGTGTCCCACAAGAGTGACCTACAGGAGTGTCCCACAAGAGTGTCCCACAAGAGTGTCCCACTGGAGTGCCCTACAAGAGTGTCCTACAAGAATGTCATTTGGACATATGTAGCTGTTCGAACGTGTTTGCATTCAGGTTCGTGGGCTCCATCTTGTTCCTTTGGTCTTCTCTTGGTGTTTGGCATCGTTTTTGTGTAGGGATGGGTTACGCTTGTGTATCGTGATGGCAGCTTGGCGTGGCCTGCCGGCTCTCCCCGACATACCAGTAGGCGAGTAGGCCCTCTGCCGATCAAACTCAGGGCTGGTGAAAGATTGAAATACTAGACGTTCACAAACGGAAATCTCGCACACAAATCCCAGAAACACTTCCCATTCAATCCTACAAGGTTGGGGCCATGTGGCACACTGGCACGTTTGGAGTTAGCGGCAGTGGAGTTTATTTGCAAGAGTTGAAAAATCTTCGTGGCTGACAGACATTGTTCGTCTCTCAGACAGAACATACATGTTGGTTCAATAATGAAATGCTGGAGTGCTCTGGGAGCATCCAAGCAAACCCCAAAACGCATTCAGTCTAGACCCACACCTGCTCTACCCACTTTCAACGGCCGTTTCGGCACTTCTCGCCACATCCGTTCCCCGTGCCTCGGTCGCGTCCTCCTCGCGAGCGTTGGGGTCAAAGTGGCCAGCACCCAGCGCCTCAAAGCGGGTCTCAAGGAAGTCTTCCAACTTCAAACCTCGGGCGATGCAAAAAGCAGCCTTCTGCGAGCCCTAGAAATGGGCAATGAGAAGGTCACATCTCAGTGTCGAACTTGCTGACGCTGCGTCTCACCGGTCTTTTTTCAGAGGTGGGTAACCTAACGCGACAAAACCCTCGTACTGCGCGGATGTGGCTACAGGGTGTCACCAAAGCCGGAGTGTGTACATCACCAATTCAACCTAAAAAGTCCGTAGCCAATGAACCTGGCCTTAGGACAGAGTGAGGAACATGATGGTCTCCACTGCGCCGGAAGCTTCCTGCTATACTTGCTATACTTGCTAAACCAACAACATGTATGTTGACTTCAATAAGTGGGAAAACCGGGAGTAAGAATCTCAGGTCAGCAAATGTCCTAAATGGTAATGGACAAAATCTTGAGTTTGGGAATCTATATATTGGGGAAGGTCACGGTTGGTCCCCCTTCTCCTCTACATTCCACACAAACTAGGAGGGGCGGAACCCAAACCACTGATAGTGTCCAGGTCCTCCAGTCCATTGAATCTTCGTCCTCCCACAGTGAAAGAGGCCAGGGCGCCTTTCAACTTTCTTCTCGTTCTGGCCAAGACTGTCTCGAAGGTCCGCCGGGCTTTCGCAGCCGCATCATGCCCTGCGATCAGCAACCTCAGAGAGGCTCATGGCTCCAGGGATGCTGGGACCACTGGGAGGTGGATGAGGTTGCGCAAAACCACCAACTTTGGGGCTGATCTAGGATGGCAGCGGCTTGCACCTTGCAATCTTGAAATGAAAATATATAACGACTCGCGCTCAGGCCATTTTCCATCCAGAGAGCGTATCACAGGCTGCGATCAACCGCAGCTCAACTCCACCTCTTGGCCACGTTGGGAGGGTGGGTTCAGGGAAGCTTGAGACGGCCACCGCATTCGTAGTTACTGGTCAACGACTCACGCTCAGGCCATTTTCCATCCAGAGAGCGTATCACAGGCTGCGATCAACCGCAGCTCAACTCCGCTCTGTCCGATCCGTCCATGCTTCGTGGCCAAAGAGGTGTCGCCAAAAAGAAAAAGGCAAACTCAGTCGGCTAAACTTCAAACTCTGTTGGAGCACCTGGGGAAACAAAGCTGCTAGGCTGAGGACTCGTTCACGAGCTGGAGCAGGAACCCTTTTCAGGAACAAAAGTGCGGTGGTTTCTTGCACGTAAATCTCCATCACACGACTGCTCAACCATCTCCCCTTTCTGCGAGTGTATTCGCTGTTTTCGGTCGTGGCTAAGTGCCATGTAGCCCCACCAGCCCGAAGTGAGCCTAGGTCCAAGGGCTTCAACTCTCCACGACGTTCAAGGGGAAGAAGGAGGGCTGCAAGAACATCACGAAACCTTTGTCTCAGTGTTTGTCCAGACCAGCTCCAAAGCTTTGCTGTTTCAGGCAGCCTACCAAAGGCTAAATTTACGACCAAAAGGAGGTCTGGGATCTCCAGCTTAGCGGCCTGATGACGCGCTCCAGAGTTTCGAGTTTTTGGTTCGACGATCGCCACCATTGCATACGCAATAGTCTCTTGCACATCACACGGCAGCAGAAGATTTGAACGGGTTGCTGAAAGAAACTCACCAGCCCTTAAGAGAGCACCCCAACATAAAGATAAAGCTCCAGCCAGGGGAACCCATCCCCAAAGAAGACAAGTGGTTACCATGGCCAGCAAAACTTGCCACGGCATTGCAACATGGTGACATGTCGGTTCTGAAGCCATCCAACTGTACGCTAAATCCCACGATCCCTGCATCTGCCGACGTATCGTGGGACGGAGCGAAGTCAAGTAATTGATTGTCTCTGCGTATTGATTGTATGGCTTTCCTGCTTCGTAAAGCAAACGACCGAACCTAGTCAAAATTGCATTCCACTCTTCAACATAAAAGGTGGGAGTTTCCAACAGAGGAGCAATATCAACCCCTTCCGCTAAAAGCCAGCTCTCAAAAATCTTCCAATATCTGGCCCTCAAACGAGTAGTCGCCTCCAGAGTCGGCCTGCCACTAGGAAGGGCAGGTCTAAGCGCTCTTGCCTGAGCTCTCGTCCGTTCTCCAGCAGTATGAGGTTCCATTGCTCGCACCGGAATGGCAGTGCAAAGGATAAAAACTACCGCGCCGCGCGCCCGACCACAGGAGGGGTGTCGCAGAGCAAAGAGGAGGAACGAGATCAAGGAGCCGAGACAAAGGAGAGGCAGGAGGAGCCAGAAAAGCCCAAAAAGCAGCGAGCGCCAAAGGGAGACAGAAGCTGAAAGCTGAGCGAGTGCCGATGGCAGACTGAGTGAGGGCGGGCCCTCCCCGGGAAAACCAAGAGTTTGATCAAAGTCCATCGAAGCGAAGTCAAAAGCTGGACAGGCTGGACAGTGATGATCCTGCCCAAAAAGAACTGGCTCGCTTGTTCTGGTAATTCGTGAGGCACCATAGGCTCGTCTGTAGATGGATGCACCCCGCAGCAACAGAAGCAGACGAATCCAGTTAGAGGCCCACCTTCGAGCTTTCGGGAGACGTGCCAAATCCCATAGCTCACCAAAAGAAAGATCTTTCCAACGAAGACCAGGAAGAGGCTCCCGTAGCTCATGAAGCCGAGTGGGATCATCTGCAACGTTTAGCCTAGTAGGGCAGAAGGGGGTGGTCATGTAGAGCCCAAAAGCAACCAAGCAAGAGGCGATTCTCTGCAGCACAGCTGTAAGGGCAAAAGATGCAGATCTTCCCTTGCCAAGAGCTCCTCTGCTAACATTTGAATCCACAAAACAAACGAATCTTCTCTGACCTCTTTTCGCCTGCTTGATGACCAACCTCTCGACAGACTTCATCTCGAGGATGTTTATATGCTGAGGTCTCTTGAATCTCCAGGAGTTCTCGACTATCCAGGTTGATCCTGAGACGATCTCATTGACCAGCTGGTTCTCCAAGCCGTCAGGGACAATGTCACCAGCCAGCGGATCTGACTTCTTCACTTCCCTTATCGCACGCCTTAAAGTCCAAGCCAGAGCCATAGAGAGCTCCCAAGTGTAAACAGCCGACGCTTTAGTGTAGACACCGGCAATGGGAATATGATCACATTTACCCTTGCAGCGACGTGCCAATTGTGAGAGGTCAATGTTCACCCCAAGGAAAGCAAAGGACTTCTGATGCTGTGAACCAAACTGACAAGAATCACTGCGGACCTCTGTCACACCTGGCTTCCTGAGCAGAGACTGATATGCAGGAAGGTACTTTGTCTTGGCTGAAAAAGGCCTCTCGAGAATACCAGACACGCGGTGTACCCGAGCCTTCTGCAGCAATTGTAAAGATCTTCCAGCAAGCACATTTCCATCATGGGTTTGAGGATCTGAGGGATCAAAACCAAAAGGGCAAATGCGGTCTCGCAAAGCAGGGCGTCTCATGATCGAGAATGTGGTACATGGGGGCTCCAGCAAAAACGCACGAAGAGAGCCCCGTTCTATGAGATGAAAAAGCCACTCAAGAACAAAGACTTCCTTCATATTGTATTCCTCAGACCTGCTCAAATCAATGGGTGGCCCACAGATGACCCCAAGCCTCTCCAAAGCAAGCGTCACCCGAGAGGACCCTGCAAATATCTCGATAAACTCGAAGGCGAAGGCAAGCGGTCTGTCGACACCAATGAAAGCCTCCTCCTCAACAGACTCGTCGGACAACCCAAGCTTTTGCATGAAACGTGCCCAGGGCGATTGAAGGCGCGTGTAGGCTCCTTTTGTCTTGCATGCACGGGAAAGGATCTTGGTGACCTCCGGATCTGCTTCCACTGAACAAATAGCACCTCTGTTCTCGGATGCATCTGAAGCAAAAAGCTTATCATCAAATGGAACCGAGATATCAGTCACCGCCAGTGGCATGAGGACCGAAACAAGCACCAGCTCACAAACGACCTCCCTGGGGAAGGGGATCAAAGCTGCATCGGGCTTGTCATCATGTAGAGAAGCCAGGCGGAATGACTCATTCAAAAGACTCATCATAGGCCTCCGAAAGAGTAAGACAGAGACCCAAGCCCCAAGGATGCGCCGATGAAGCGAGACTGTTGTGTAGGGCAATGAGCACAGCTCCAAGGTTAATGCTGATAGAGCAAGTCGTTTTGCTGCTGGGGCTGCCACCGTGCAAACACCAAGGGCCGTAGCTCTATCGCTGCCATTGATGAAGGCCCCGATGACCTTACCCTCTTTAGCTGCAAAGACATCCTTCTCTGGAGATCCAAGAAGGGGCACGGCACCATAAGCTTTCTGAGCAGTCCTGTAGGCTTGAGCTGACCTGGTATCTGCGTCCGGGAGGTGCTTGTCATCTACTGAGACTGCAAAGTAATCGTCAATGACCAAACCCTCAGCAAGAGAATCATCACGCCAGGGCCGGGAAGCAACCATGCTAGAATCCTCTGACAACAGGCCAACATTCTTCAACAACTGGGAATGGGCAGCTGTAGCAATCTCAACACCTGCATGGTCGCCCTGCAGAACGCTCTTGAAGGACGCCCAAATAAGGCCATGCTTGTCAACTCTGTTGCTCCAGGAGCTCAGCAAGTGATCACCATGCTCACGACGTTGATATCTAGCTTTTGCACTGCGCAGAAGAAAGGATCCAAAAGCTGAGGTTTGCTTCAGCCACTCTTGAGGAAGGCCTGGGCCCAAAGTGTTGGTAATAGCCCTTGACCTGGTCACCCAAATCTGGTGATAGAAATCACGCCGATCCGACACAGAGACAGAAATGCGCTTTTTCCGCAAGTCCAGAAACAAGTCGCAAAGATCTGGTCCGGCAGGAAGATTGCTCGAAGGTCCTTGAACTTTGCACTCGACAGCATTCCGCCCACGGCGGTCTCCAATTTGCCGGTCTTTATCAACTGATTTGTAGCAGTTAAAAATCCGCACCAGCTCAAAAATCTGTCTGTGTTGAACTCGATCTTGATGCAGGAAAAGCAATCCTTGTGAGTCCCACAGCTTGGCCAAAGCGGCAACTGTCTCTGGCGCATCCCGGATGTGAGGATATTCCCAGGTCGCAGGTTCACGGTCAACTCTAATCGACTCCGGCTCTCGGTAGACAATGACTAGATCGTCGGGCAAGAAATTTGTGACATCCCAAGCACCGGAGCCTGAGAGTTTCAAACGACTTGGATCGAGATCTCGGTAGGGCTCGAGCTCCGGGAGGATGGTATTGTCTTTCTCAACCTCATAGCCAACAAAAGCCTTCTCATAAGGCGACATAGAGCACCCCAGCTTCACCAAGAGAGCCGAGAGCTCCGACAACCTTGCAATCAATTCTGGATTCTTGCGACCAACATGGAGCATATCAAAAGTCTCATGTGGCCCATCCGCTCTGATAAAGGAGCGCAGCGAGATCATCACTGACAAAAGTCCCACCATAGTGCCAAAAGTTCAAAGCCATGCAGCACACGTGTAGGACCCTCCTCAGTAACAAAGACCTCCTCTTGGCACTAGACAGACCAGTGGGCATCCTGTCAAAAGTTCCTGAAGCAGGAACTGGCACAGGGAAAAGAGACGGTGTCCTTGGAGGCCGAGAAAAAGGGCTCTTGGAAACACGGATGGAATTTGCCAAAAATGCTGAAAAGGAACAACGAGATTTCAACACCAGTGTAGTCAGCTTCGACATCCACAAAGAAAAGCTGGCTTGTCTGGAATTGAGGAACTGAAGCCCGCTCAACCCGGCCTCAGGGCACTTTACAGGGAGCTTACCCCCCCGTTCAGTACCCCCAGGCATTGGGGAGCAAGGAGGCCTTGTAGAAGCAGTCCTCGTGTCACAAGGAGACAAGCACGCTTCTGGCAGGTCCCTCCCTGGGCTGGCTTGCACACCAGAAGAAACTGCATTGAGATAACTCCTGAATTTCCGCTGCTTCTGGGACGCTAGGCTGTGCCATCCGCGATGGCCTTCGGCTTCTTCGAGGAACTTTGGTCTTCGTTTTGGGCTCGGCGATGAATCCTCCTCCTGCTTCCCCACATGACCTTTCTTGGGGCGGATCTCTTGCCGCCGATTTTGCAAGACATCGATCTCCTTCAAGTAGGCCAGAGAGATTGTAGCAAGACCTGCTGGAATCAACGGAGCGAAAGGACGAGCTGAGGCAGTCACTGAGCTCATCTTTTCCTGAAACAATGCCGCCGGTGGATCCTCCGCCAAAGTCACTATATAGGCCAAGTCCCAAGCGCCCACATCGAAGGCACTTTGCTCCAGACCCATAACCGCTAAGGCGAGATACTCCCGAGTCATATGAAAATCTCCTCTGGAGGCCGCATCGACCGCATGAGCAATCACCCACATAGCCAAGCCCGCCTCTTTCTGTCCCTTGAAACCTCCATAGCGCTCCAAGTAGGTCAGAAGTGAGGGGGCCCGAGCATTGAGTTCGTCCTCGGTTTTTGGGACCACGTTGGATGGCTGCAGCCGCCTGCAAATCTGCTGCTGCAACATCATGAAGAAATGAGACTGTCCCGTAGCTAGGCTTTGCTGCAATTGCTCTCTTTTCAAGGTGCCTCTTGTTGAACTCGAGCTCGCCCCTGTTGCGCCAGAGGCCTCGAGGCCCAAAGTGTCTCCGCCTTGGATCAAATGAGACACCAAAGTGGTGAGCGCAGCCGACTGCTGCGCCAGGGTGTGCTCCAAGATCTCGGGGGGAGCCTTGAGCGGATCTACTGGCTCGTCCCACTTCTCGAGAGGCTGATGAGGGCTTGGCGACATTCTGGTCCTTGGAGGAGGCCCCAACAACTGCAATGCTTTGGCGGGAGTGCTGACTCGAGGAACAGAAGGGGATAGGCCCAACGAGACAGGAGGCATCTTGCGCAATCCCACTCCCATAGACAAATCGGTGAGCCCTCCGGCATGATCGGCAGAGGGAGGACTCTTGGAAACAGGTAGCGGAGGAACGTCTCGTACTACCTTCTGCTCCTCTTGAGTAGCCTGCAGCATAGCCACCTGAGCCGTCAGTGCAACCAACTGCTCTGCCAAACTGGCTGTAGTGACCCTCTTCGCACCCGCTTTCCGAAGTGCGGGCTGTCTCCCCGATGAAGCTGGAATCTTTGGAACTGCTGGCTCTTCTCGAGCGCTGTAAAAATGGACCCGTGAAGCACTGTCACCTGCGGCCCAATCCATAGCCACTGACAAAAGTTCAGCTGCAGAGGGCATAGCCGCTGGGTTTGTGTCCACAAAAGAAAAGATCTCCTCAGTAGAGTCTGTCACCGGATCGTATTCTCTGAGAAGTGGTAGTACGGCATTGTTGAAATCTGCCACCAAAACTGAGCCCTTGGAGCCCGTCGGAAAGACACTACCACTCTCATCCTCTTCAAACATATCCATCTCGAATTCACGTGAGGGGCCAACTAGCATATCATCTGTAAAGCCACCAGCTGGAGACAAAGCACTTTCAGCTAGGAGGCCACTGGGAAAAGCCAACAAAAGCCCACCACGGCGTGCATCTAGGGGCGTAGCAAAGGCGCTAAGCTCCTCACCACCAACTGCTATCTCTGCTGGCACCGTGAGCACCAGAAGAGAAGGATCCCGATGCTGAGATGCGAAACTTATCTGCTGCCGCTCCATTTCCACAAAGCAGGAACAGGGGCTTTCGCCCCAGCGCAGAAAATCTGTAGCTCCGTAAGACTGGGGAGTTTCTCCACAGGCACGATATCGGGGAAGTCCTTGCACAGCTGATCAGCGTCAGATTGTGAGGTCACCCTGATCAGGTCAAACCCTGGTCCACGACGTAGGACCCAATGAGTAGCTGCAATGCCCGGCTTGTAGGTACTAGGGCGATGAGAGCTGGCGTGACACGACCAGAAAGCTTTTGCCCAAAAACCAGCAACAAAGGCAGCACGAGCCCGATCTTCTGCACAATGACGTGAAGATGTAAGATGCCTCTTTGCTAGATCAATGACAAATTGAGGAGTCGGGCCAGGGCCTTCCTCGAACTGGATCTCCAAGTTTGTTGTGAGGTAGTTCGCTGGAGCACCCGGGATGCCAACACTGTCCTCCACCAGATCCCAATTCTCACTCACCTTATCCTCCTCCACACGCACACTAGAGGCTGAAACACCTCCAATTGCACCTCCAGGCTGACGAGAAATGACTAACGTCAGCTCCTTCACTGCTCGAGTCAGTTCACGAAGATCTTGTTGCAAAGCAGTGATCTCACTCATGCACGTAAGCTTGCAGCCTCGAAGAGATCGGACGGCGACGAAGGCCGGGATCTGAAGGGGCCTGAGGAGAGGCCGGAGGCAAATGGACCAAATAGGCCCGCAAGAAAATCCACGCGCCCCAAATTCCAAGGCAAAGTCCAAGAAGGATGCCGCAGGAAAGACCACAGGCAAAAGGGATGACCGTGGAAGGAGCACAGTGGGCGGGGCAAGAGAGAGACGAGGAGAGGAGCGAAAAGGTGGAAAGGATATCGGTGAGAGCGACACCCCAAACCTGCATACCCTGAAGCTTGAGACGGCCACCGCATTCGTAGTTACTGGTCAATTTGCATGGCACAGAAATAGTGTATGAGGCAGAGTTGGCTGTCAAGTTCTGGTTTCCCCACCACCCACTCGATTTTCACGAGTGATCCATGTGGTGCTACAGGAGTAAACCAGCGCACTACCGTACTTGTGAATCTGAGGGGCGGAATAACGCTGGCAAAGCCATCAGGTATGGTGCAGCACACCTGAGATTCGGTCCATTACTTCTTTTTGGGGGACTTGCGGTAGTTTCCAGTACGGTCAGTATGTTGAAGGCTCTCGGCACCTGCATATCGCCGGCATGCAAGTCCTAAAAATGATCTCAGTGCAAAAACGAGCTTCCATTGATTAGAGGTCTGATAGACACTCAATCTGAAGACTCCGATAAGAAACAACATATGTACAAGATTGTACAAGTATGCAAGTACTAGACAGAGTCTGTACGCTTGAGGTTGGGGTGAAAACCGAAATCGGCAAAGGCATGTGAAATCCCTGAAATCCGCCGTCATCCAACTTACATAAGCAGAGAACAAAGCAACTTATATAAGCAAAGGCTCTTTGTAGCTGTTGGTGGGCGGTAGCCCGCGACCTCCAGAGACCTTGACCAGGTCTTTTCCAACCTGCACTTTATTGGGCACAACAAAGCCATTCAGTTCTGTCCTTTTCCTTTATTCTTCTCCCCCCATTGTTTGGATATCCAGCATCGCAGCGCCTCTTCGATCTTGACCTGCACCAAAAAGAGCAGAACTCCCTAGAGAACTCACACAAAGTCCCGTGTTGATGCGATTAGGGCCTGCAAAAAGAGCAAATGAAGGTTTTCCGAATCAAGGAACAGTCGCAAACAACAACTTTTGGCGACAGTGATGCTTGAGTGGATTGGCCTGTTGTCTGACGAAGTGTGATGGACATGAGTCGGGGACAAGGTCTGTAGTTATAGGGGCAGGAACGGGGGGAACCCAAAACATACATTGCACTCAATCCTCACCTGATCTTGGAACAGCCTGATTCTGCATCTCCACCATGTCAAGAAGTCCAACATAGCTCGTCAAACGTTTGGCTTCTCCTCATCAAACCAAAGCTCCCTGGCCCTGCCCTACAGGGCGCTACAGTCTCCACACCGTCACCAAGCTCTGAGGAGAAGTCGGCTTAGTCCAAAGGGTTGTGCCAAGCGCCAATATCCGAGCCTGCGTGAAGTCACAAGCTACGTCCGGCACCAGGTAGGCGCCCGGATCCCCAATCTCGTACAAGAGCTGCTCCGCCACGCTGCCAAAGCTCACCTCTTCGCTGGCTTGGCGGGTTGGGCAGAGCTCAGGAGAAATCTGACTAAGTTATAAACCAGAAGGAAGACCATATATATATATATTCTAATATGTATTTTCCAATTCTTTAAACATGTGAATGAAATATGATGAAAGTGGATTGACTGGTTCTTTGGTTGGAGGATCGTTGAGCAGCAGCATGCAACCTGCAGTCAAGTCACCATCCCGTCTGTTCCTGGGGGCTTGGAGACGAGAAAGGTACCTCAAAACAAAGACTCTGAGCAGCCTAAGCGCTATTAGGCTATGGGTAATATATAAGCAAGCCAGAGCCACCATCAGGTGAGACTTCCACCACTGGGTAGCCCATGTTCTCCCACTTCACCTCCTATGCAGCGAGCTGCGCTTTTTAGCACAGCCAGGCTACGGCAAAAAAAAAGTGTGCTGACTCATCCACGTGTCCAGACCTTGGCCTGGCCGCGAGGCAGGGCCCTTTACTTCAAATGCCTCCGCTCGATCCCAGCGCCATCTCTCCGCTCCTGATAGTCGGTGAATAGGCCGCCAGTGCACTGTGCCGAGCATTCAATCAAATGCCCTGCAAGAGTGCCCATGCAGAGGCGGTCATAATCGTCAGGACGCCAGCCTCGCCCATGGGTTCCACAACAGTGTACTCTAGTAAAAGGCTGCAAAGAGGTCCCACGCATTGTCAAAACAAACATGCGTTTTTGCCAAACCATAGAGGCCAAAGCGGCCGAACTCATGCATGAGGATGCCCAGCGCAAGAGCACTGTCCACGACTCCTAAGCACAGGTTCCAACACTGCCACCTCGCTCCCCATCAACACAATACCATTTCTAGGTCTATCCAAAATCCCTCTTTCCCAATCTGCTAGTTTGATATTGCAAGGCGCGGCCAGTCACCACCACATCACAACCTTCGGCCAACGCTGCAGCTATCGGGAGAGCACCAAAATATGCATTGGCACTGGGACAATCCTCGGTGATCTGGATGACAATGACCAGAAGGAACAATTCAACTGTGTGTGTGTGAAGCCCTTTGACTCAGAGGGGACCAGGGGGCTAGCGGCCCATGTCTCAAAGCAAATGTCTTTGGACGCACAGACTTGTACCTGCTTGAGAACACACTGACTCCAATGGTTCTCCCTTGCTTAGGCTGTTTCCAGGTCCATCAGGTCGACGTAAAATGCTAATGTGCTCTGCAGACATGCAGTTGCATATTGTCGCTCTTGGAGGTTTTGGAGACGTTCAGACAACCTGACTTTGAGGATGTTCAGACCACCTTACTTGCCTGGCTTCCTAGGCTTTTTACTTAGGTTGGAGTGTGGCAAACCGCAAATCAGTACCGTACACATTTCCCGAGTGTGTGGTACAAGAAAAGTCAGTATATAGTTATATATGTCTACACCTTTTATGATGTCAGAGATCCTGGCAGTCTGTCTTTGACATGAATTTGGAGTGTGTTGACGTTGGCAGGATATATATAATTTATGCGAGAAGTGCAGAAGACCTCAATAGTCAAAAGGTGCCCTCAACATATCATTTGATTCTTGCCATGGTACACAAAGTGCAGCAACAACGATGATCTTCCTTTCTACGTACATTGATCGAGCTTTGGCACAAACCTGGACACCTACAATCGCACAGCCCACACATCTGTGTCCACAGCCCCGCAAATAGTTCAACATGTTCTAATCTGAGTTGCAGGAGGAAAACTATGCAAAACCACAGACATTGCACGGAGGGCATTCGTAGTCTTCCGAACCCACCTTTTTGCATTGATCGCTTCACTTGGCTCTAGAATAAACCAACAAAGTATTTTTAAAAAGTAGCATCCTTTGCTCCTAGTAGTAAGGCCAGGAGCCCCTAGTAGCGTCCTTGCTCCTAGTAGAGATGCCCTTTGCTCCTAGTAGCGTCCTTGCTCCTAGGCCCTCTTTGTTTGGCCCAAGAAACCTTCTCAGGAATCTTCTCTCCGGTGAACATCTCACAAAGGCCACGCTCTCCTTGGATGAAGCTGCTTCAGGGTTTGCATCGACTGGTGCCGTCTTGTTCTATTCTGCTTTGCTTAGAGGCTTAAACTCCTTATCAAAGGTTTGCGACCTCCAAAGTCACCCAATTCTGCTAGCAAGTATCAACACTGCTTCCTCTTCACCCCACCACCCGCACATGCACGCAACCTTTCCGACCCCAACAGTGTCTCCCTTGCCCAGCAACGGAACTCAGGAATCCGAGAGGTCACCTCATCTCCCAACACGCAGCCGATCTTCAGAGGTTGGTTCACCTGCCACTTTGGACGCTTTAAGAGGGGACAAGGTCATAGTGTTAAAGCCAGTGACCCTGCCTCCATACTCGATTAAGTAGGTGCCTACTTAATGAAGTAAGGGATAATGGCCACTAGCTACTAAAGCTACTACCTGCTGGACGCAGGATAGCTCACGCTCGCACTAATGATTTAGTTCCTAGCTCTTTAGGGCAACTTAGAGAGGACAAGTTTATCTGTCTTCATCATTTGTCATCTGTTGGGCGAGCTGAAAAACCTTAAGTGGAACCAAGAGTCTCTGTTCGACATACTTCCAGAGCAATTCATCGTTTCAACTACCTCTTTCTCGCTGGTGATCTGCCCATGCCTTGGCGCAGGCCATCTGCAACATATCTCGGCAGCCCAAGGGGTTCATCCCACCAGCATTGCACACCACCTGCCCCACACGGAAGCCAAGACGAGCGCAACTCCACTTGGTTCCAAATAAGATCAAATAAGAAAGGGAAAGAACTTTTGTAAGGTTCAAACGGGGGAGAAGCTATTCAGGTATCGAAGAAAGCGGTGTTGATCCATGAGCATCTGCGGGATGCATTAATGCAATGTAATGCAATGATGCTCTCTCATAGGGAAGCATTCGCATAACGCAGGATGGCATGCGACTGCTCAAAGTTATAGTAGGTTGACCGAATGTAAAGCGTGCGAAGACTGCATGGCCTATATAGCCCGAGGGGTTGCTTCCCCAAAGCCTCCATATAAAAAGGCAACTGCAAACAAACCCGTTGTTCGCCCCAAAAAACTTTCAGCACAACAAAGAAGCGAGCCTTGATCCCCTTCTTCTTCAGTGCATGGGCATGCTTCCCAATCACGAAGAGGAAGTCGCGGGCGAATCCCGCCTTTGGATCCTGCAAAGAACAATGCCTCTGAGAATCTGTACATAGGGGTGCTTGTCTTGTTTTAGTACAGGTCTTGGTGCAGAGGTGAAACTTGAGAGTCTAAAGGCACTTATAGACTTGCACACTGAGTTTCCTGCGATTGTGACCAGGTCCAAATGTCAAACAGTCAAGACGATCGAAACATAAAAGTCCAACCCTCCTCTCAAGAATTCAACCGGTGGGAAAGCACCCACGGCACAAATCCGCGGCAAGGTCCTTGGCCCGCTGTCGTGCCATGATAGCCATTGTTGTCTCCGCCAGGTAGTCACCCATGAGGTAGTGTACATCTCCTTTTTCGATGAGCCTCAATCATGTTGTCATATTGGTCATATTGTTCCAACTGAATTTTCCGGCCGTGCATCGTGAGCGAAAAGAAAAGTGGCAATGTCAAGAAGAGTAGACTTGTCTAGGAGCAAAGGGCTAGTAGGGGCTTCTGGCATCGCTACTAGGAACAAGAAGCTACTAGGGGCTCCTGGCCTTACTACTAGGAGCAAGGACGCTCACTCTCGCTGGGACACTGTCCAGGGATCCAGTCAGCATCGCCCCACATCGCCTCGACACTAACACACACTTTGTTGATGCTGTTACATGCTGTTCACCTGTCACTTTTTCAATGTTGTTGTTGCCCGCCCTTAAGTAAGTAGGCGCCTACTCAATTAAGTAGTAGCTAGGAAGCTACTAGCTCACGCTAATCGTTTGGTTCCTCGATTCAAGGCCAGTTTGGGTTTCCTTGGTTTCCTCCTTAGCCGCTTAGCCCTCAGGATCCGACACTGAAGCCACCGATCTTCACTTTGTCCCGCATGGCTTCGACCCGGAGCCCGTGAAGGTACTAAAAGCGAACTTTGAGACAAGAATTTAAGACACTTACTAGCGATGGCCTCCAACCTGGAAGCGATGGCCTCCAATCACAGATGTTCACTAAAGTCACTAAAGCCGAACTTGGAGACAAACATCCAGGAGTGGAGAGCACTTGAGAGATCGACTTTGCCCATCAGCAAAACTGGCTCTCATGGGGGGACAAGGAGTGAAGCTTAGGGAAATGCCCATTCATCCAACAGGAGATCTGCCTATCTTTATCATTTGCTATCTTGACTGCCTAGCAGCCTCAAAGCAGCTTGATCCGAGATGCGGGCAACAACGTCTACAGGAACACACGCCACCACTTGCTGTCATGATTGATGTATGCTTGACATCTTTAACGGTTCCCAACGATCAAAAAAATAACATACAATAACCTAATGTGAAAGGACCCCTTCACCCAACGCAAAATTCAGGGCATGCCTTTCAAGCAATCTCAGATTGGTATCAGTTGTTGGCGATTTCAGAGTCCGACAATAAAGCTCATGATTGACTTGGGGTCCATGCTCTGGCTCAGAGCTTGGGCGCAGATGGCAGGGATCCCATTTGCTCGGACTTTCATGGCAAACAGCCGCCAGACCTTGACACCTTTGAGCCCATGCTTTGCAGACCGATGGAAATGTGCAGCATCCCACAACTGCCTCTCTATCCAAACTCGAGGCAACCTAAGCTCATGAGTTGCAACAAAATGGATGAGCAAAATGAGAGCAGTTCAGCCGCCTGGTGCGCCATCTCATCTGCAAGTGTCCTGCTGCCAAGCAGCAACTCAACAAGCTGCAAAAAACAAATAGTCAAAAGTCTCAAGGCAACAACAGCAAGCAGCATGCTCTTTCTTGAAATGCAATCAGCATACAACGAAGTGCCAGGCCGAGAAAACCCACAGACCCCGGCCTAGGCCAAAGGTGTTCTCCATGCCCAGCTTGAACCAAGAGCTTAAAGGCAAATGCATAGGTGGCAACGCTTTGACACAAAAAGAAACCCACATGCTGGCGATGTCAGCCTCAAGACCTATTCTTTTTTAAAGAAAAGGATACATTTATCCCAATTCAGACATGATCCACCAATCATCACAAAAGGATGGCCTGGGTCGAAAGACAATGAGCAGCAAGATATATCTTTTTGGCAGGTACAAGCAAATCACCTTCGTCGCTGAAAGACTTAATGCTCCAAACATCTTTCAAGAACCGATTCCAGCAAACAGTTCTGTCATGTCTCTTCCCTGAAGTATGTCAATTGTCCTTTGGGTTCTTGTTGGCTGCATTACAGCTCCAAGCTTGTTCCACTGCAAGACATCCTCGATTTTGTTAAAAGAAATGCTGTGCAGTCCATGTCAGGTCATGTGCGTTCTACCTTTGAATAGTTAAATTCGGGGTCCAGGAGGGCACCCCGAAAGCTGCAGTTCCTTCCTCAAAATGTAGAGCAGCCTTGGCTCACAGTGGCATACAGTGGGCATTCTAAGAAGATTGGAAACGTGCTGTGCCCGTCTCGAATTCTGCGTCGCCTCAGCAGCTGAAAGCATGCTGGCACAGCCCGGCTTTGTTGGGTCACCGCCTAAGACGAGACCCGACGCCTGTGGCACGACTCAGAAGCAGAAGCACTCAGGGAGCACTCACGGAGCACTCAGCGGCTGAAACGAAGTTCTCTGGTGCAATGCCACAGTTCGTGAAACAAGAAGCTGCCCCAGCAGAATGAAGAGATCTGACTGACTCTTGTTTAATCCATCTTGTATCTTGCTTCGAGAATTCTATTCACCCCTTCCGTTCAGAAACCTCCGTCCTCTCCAAGAGGACTGACGATTTGGATCTTGCTGGGGCATCCAGGCGACAAATATCCGCAGCCTTCTTTGAAGTTCAAATGAAATCCAAAAGTCATGACAGCAGCATCAGCCATTTGACCTGTGTCCACCCTTGCCAGAGAAGAACGTCTCAATTCCAGCTGCTTTATCTAGATTATGCTGGTCAATGGCAGACGCTCCCACTCGTGGTCCGATCCTCATCAAGAGTAAAGTGCGGCTGAAGGCATACTTTTCGGCCTTTTCAATCAAAATGCATTGGACGTCCACCAACAGCAAACGTTCACTTGGTTGTTTTAAAAACTACTTGTTGGCACCAAAAATGGGCCACGTGTCGAAACAGCTTTTTCTTGTTGCTTCAGTGGTGGACCATCTCCAGGCCAGTTTGGACCTGTAGTCTATCGGGGTACCCATGGCAAGGGCAGCTGATGGCGCAGTGGTTTTGCGATGCTGAGTGGGTTTCATGTGAGGGATGTTGAGAGGCTTATCGTGGCTTGGTGGTAGCACCTTGCTAGTAGGCTGGAGGCCATCGCTGGTAGGTTGGAGGCCATTCCTAGTAGGTTGTAGGCCATCGCTAGTAGGTTGGAGGCCATTCATAGTTGGCTGGAGGCCACCACCACCACTAGTAGGTTGGAGGCCATCGCTAGTAGGTTGGAGGCCATTCATAGTTGGCTGGAGGCCACCACTAGTAGGTTGGAGGCCATCGCTAGCAGGTTGGAGGCCATCGCTTATAGAGGCTTGGTGGGCAATCAACCGCCTCTTCTGCTCTGCGCCATCAGTCTTCGGCCCTTTCATCCAAAAGCCGGGCACAGCCGACTCGACTGTGGAGCGCAGCCTGAGCTTGGGAGTCCCAGGGAAGATCGAGGGAGTTCATGAGGCGTTCCATACCCCGAGATGACCGTAAAAGCTTGCTCAAGCAGTCCAATTCACTGTGGAATCTGGCATACAAACCAGTCTGATCTGGGCCAAACAACCTTAAAGCAAACAATTCTCCTCTTCTTTGGAGTTCTTATTGAGGTCCTTGGAGGCCTTTGTAGAAACCAAGACCGCAAGCAGCCCTGCCGCTCCGCCTCTCAAAATCTTGCATCGAAGCCGAAGGGACCTCGCAAAGACACCAAACGAGAAGGCCGAAAAGGCAGTGTGGATGATGGGCCAAAGGCACCCCTATATAATATAATAGGCCGTTTATATAAATGGCTGAATATTGATGTCACATGTTTCACGCTAGCTTCGGGTTCGGCTTCAAGGTCTCTAAAGAACTTGTTCCCGGCGTTGGAACACTTGGAGCACAAAGGCCTCATTCATCTCTGATGGGCGAAGACCTTTCCCTTATAGCTTACTCGCTGAGCTGCTACTAAATCGGTGTATGACAACTCAGATATGTAGATCCAACAAAACCTGGAGTGATCATCAATTTCGGAATGAATGGGAGAAAATTAATTGAGAGATCTGGAGAATCGAATAGAAGGCTTATTTGGTCTCCCAAGTTGGGACCACAGCCAAAGACGAAATCCTCCTTGGGCGGAAAGGACCTGCAAGGCAGCCAGGCTGTTGCACAAACTGTCCTTTGAAGCTTCCATCCTAAGGAAAGCCACAAGCACAATCTTTTGTTCAAATCTCATTCTGTCAAGGAAAGACCACGGCATCCGTGGCTTTAAGAGCACGGCACAAAGCCAAATGCTTCACGACTCTCAAGGGCTGCGGGCCACACAAGTTTATATCGGTCCCCCCCAACCTCTCCAGCAACTGGAGGGCTTCCAGGGACACCTGTTGCGGGTCCAAGGAGTGCGTCACCTCGGAGGTCAAAAGGAGGTGCGGCGGTGGGTGTCCAACACCCGTGGAGAGTTCATGGATCTATGAGGCTCCTAGTAGCGATGCCAGGAGCCCCTAGTAGCATCCTTGTTCCTAGTAGTAAGGCCAAAAACCCTAGTAGCTTCTTAGCTACTAGTAGCTAGTAGCGATGCCAGGAGCCCCTAGTAGCATCCTTGTTCCTAGTAGTAGGGCCAGGAGACCCTAGTAGCTTCTTAGCTACTAGTAGCTAGTAGCGATGCCAGGAGCCCCTAGTAGGATCCTTGTTCCCAGTAGTAAGGCCAGGAGACCCTAGTAGCTTCTTAGCTACTAGTATATAGCTAGTAGCGATGCCAGGAGCCCCTAGTAGAATCCTTGTTCCCAGTAGTAAGGCCAGGAGACCCTAGTAGCTTCTTAGAAGCCCCTCGGCACAGATGGTGCAAGACACCGCCCTCCACCAGCGGAGACTCGCCGGTCCGCCATGCTCCGATGGCCATGGACTGCCTTGCTGGTGATCCTGCGCTACACTGCACCTTGCGTGCCGCCTGGTCCCAATTCCAGGACCGTCCACATGGATTGCTTCGACGTGAACGAGTGGCTTGAACACCAGTCGAACAGCTTTTTTTGATGGGTTTTTGGACGGTAGGGGTGAGGGTGAGGTACTGACCATGCAGTACCTCGAAAGGGATAGTTTGTATGTGCCTCATGATACTATCCCTGAAAAACATGGTACAGGGCACGTAGGGTCTTTCGAGACCAAATTGAGGGCAAGGCGCCTGCCAGTTAAACGATCTTTTGCAAGGGCAATGAAGCGATTGCAGCAAACTGGTTTCTGCGTATATCGTGGACAAGTTCATACTCAGCCTGTTTCCGCACCAGCTGACCCTTCGATCTTGACGCCCCAGAGACGGCCACCTCGAAAGGCCTCGGGACCGAGACTAAGCTGCATGACCTGGAACTGTGGTGGACTTACCACAGACACGTATCATGAATTGCTCCTTTGGCTCTCTCTTCACAGGATCGATGTTTGCTTCGTTCAAGGGACACGATGGGGGATGGACGAACCCTGGGAAAGCAACGGTTTCGCATTAGTGCCATCTCCCGCACAGGACCATGCACACGATGGACTTCTTACCATCATTCGCACACAGCTTTGTCCGACATCCGCCATCAGCCATGCCAACATCCTTGAAGGTCGGCTCCAACATACACGTTGTAACTTGGACAATATCACCATTGATTTGGTAAATTGCTACCAGCATCCTAATAACCCTGCCAGAAATAGACCTGACCCGCTTCGAGCTCGTGATTCTTTTTGGCATGCATGGGAGGATCTGCTAGCTAAACTGCCATTTCGGAATCTTCTCATCACCGCAGGTGACTACAATTGTTCCTTGGTGGCCTCAACAAGCCAAACGACATCCTTTCCTGATCAGGCAGCCTTCAAGGCAATCGTCGATCGGTTTTCGTTGGCCTCAGTCAGAGTTCATGATCCTGGCCCCACATGTATCGGTCCTGCAGGTCACTCGACTATTGACTACATGTTTGCACGCCGTCCACAACTGGATCAACTGTCGCGTCAAGCACGTTGTATCAGGACCTTTCCACTGAACACTCATGGTTATCCTGACCATGCACCAGTTGTGACCACCATCCCATTGAACTGGAAGGCTTGGTATTGTCGCACTCGCACTGCAGCGTCTCATTTGTCCAGAGCCACCATGCAGACCATGCGCCAGGAGTGGAACTCTGGTTCCTCCCACTGGCAATCCTTCGAGTCCCAGCTTGATCAGCAGTTGAGGCAAGATTCCATGCAGCATGTTGCACCACAACAGTTTACTAACCAAGTAGTTCAAGCATGCTCTAACCATTTTCGTGCCTCACCTGCGCAACCTGAAGTCACATGGAATCTTCCTGCCACCAGGTCCTTGGTTGCCTTGAAGTGGAGACACCTTCACCTTGCGCGCAATACTCAGTCTTGCACTCGTTCGTACATAGTCCAAGTCTTTCAAGCCTGGCATCATATGAGCCAACATTTTAAGCTTAGGACTCGTCTTCGTAAGCACTGTCAAGCCAAGCGTCAAGAACGTGTGAACAAAGTCATCCAGGAGGCCACCGGAGCAGCATATAGGCATGACTCCAAACGTTTATACATGGCCATTAGATCATTGACTCCAAAGCAGCCACGTAGGCAGATTCGATTTCGCCAAGCCGGAATTGCACAAACGCCGCAGGAAGAGCTCCATGCCTTGAGGGCTCATTTCGAAGCCATCTTTTGTGCGTCCACCTCAGATCTTCCCGCATTGCAATCCATGCCAATGCCTTTCACCCAGGCTGACCTGGAGCATGAACTTCGCGCCACAAAAATTGATAAAGCTGTAGCCTCAGGCACCCTGCCACCATTAATCCTTAAGCATTTCGCACCCCCGCTTGCAAGTTGGCTGTATAGGTACTTGGAGATCACCTGGCATCATCCATGTCCTTCGATTCCGACTGAATGGAAGGACGCTGCTTTGACACTTTTGGCAAAACGCACTGTCACCACCCCCCTCCGATCTCAGACCCATTGCTCTGACCTGTGGCATGGGCAAAGCGGTCTTAGGAGCACTGGTCAAAGCTGCTTCCTCGCACATGGCTGAGCACTTAATCAGATTCCCTTTGTTCGCCTACACTGAACGCAGAGGGGTTTTTGAAGCTTTGTGTTATGTGTTTGATCACTGCCATCAGGTCCGCACCGATTGTACCTCAGCCAATCCCTCACACTGGATGAAGCAGGCTGGACATACAAAACCCAAGTTGACTGGAGGGCTCATGCTTTCTCTTGACCTGTCTCAGGCATTCGACAGGCTCCCGCGGTCGAAGCTGTTTGAGGGTTTACTGAATTGCCACTGTCCACCGTCAATAGCCTTGCTTTTGGTTAATTGGCTCAAAGATGCCAAATACAGCATTAATCACAGAGGGTTGACTTCAGAGATTGTCACCACATGTGGTGTTCGTCAAGGTTGCCGTGGTAGTCCGTTAGAGTGGAATGTGTTCATGACCGTCATCCTTCAAGCAATTTGTCCAATTCTTGAATGCACTGTCAGTCAGCTGATACACTGGCTGATATGCTTTGCGGACGATCTGTTGCTGCGCTGGAAAATCAACAGTTCTTCGGAAGTCCATCACGCCTTGCATGCAGTTGGCCAGTTGTTAGATGTTCTTGAACAGCACCACCTGATCTTCAACCCCAAGAAGACAGTCACGCTCATTCGTCTTGAGGGCTCTCAGGCGGCCAAACTCACGAAACAATGCCTCATTCGCACCAAGGAAGGCTTGTTTGTACGGATCCCGAGATCCTCCAAAGAGACCCTGTTGCCGGTAGTCCACTCACATACCTATCTTGGTTGCAAAATTTCATACCATTGTTTTGAGAAGTTGACGCTGAATCATCGCATACACATAGGAAGAACCGCCTTTCAAAGACTCCGACCGTGGCTCGTGAAGCGCCATTCAGTCACCTCGACCACGAGGGCCCAAGTGTGGAGATCGTGCATCCTTAGCTCGTATCTTCACGGTCTTGCAGCAGCTGGCCTCACGCAGGACGGATTGCACAAGCTCATAACTAGATGCAATGCAGATCTTCGTTCCCTGGGGCAATCACCTGGACATATCACTCATGAATGCAATGTTGACTTGTTTCAACGGTTAGGAGTCACTGATCCCCTGCTTGGACTGCAGGCGCAGTGGACGCAATTGTTCGATCGTCTTGAGCAGAATCAGGCGCATCTTTCCTCCCATGACTTTTTGCACTCCCTACCGCTCTTGAGTACAAAGCAACGAACCATGGCCATCTTTGACCATGCAAAGGTTCAGGTCTTCGATTGGGAACTAGCATGTCCGTATTGCACTCAGCTCTTCGCTGACATGACTGCCTTAAATCGTCATCTAGTATTGACACATAAAATTACACGTACTGCCCAAGCTTTTCTCCCTATCAGAGATGCCTTGCAAGGAAGACCACAGTGTCGCCACTGCCACTTCAAATTCTATGATTGGGGAGGCTTGAAACGACACATCACTTGGGCCGGGTGTCCCATGTTCGATCCAGACTTGGATAGCCAGGTACCACCTGCAGACCAAGCAATTTTTCGTGAACATGCTGAAGCAGATGCCTGGATGGCCCTGGTGGAACAACCAGACCTCATCGGAGTCCTCAGAGAGCACTGCGTCCTGTGTGGCCGCCACTTCTTTTCAGGAAAAGCTCTGTTAGAGCATCTGAATCTCAACCACTATGAGATGTGGTCGACCTCCAAGGCGCAGGCGCCGGCTATCATCCATGCCCTCAGAGATGGCAAGCCGTGTCAGGCATGCGGCAAACCCATTGCTCGTGCACACGCCTGTCATGTGATCAGGCAGATGGCCATCTTGCAGGACCTTTGCACGACAAACCGCAGCACTGAGGATGTTGTCCAAGGGAAACCAGTGGCACCAACGCCACCCAAGCCGGAAGCCCACTGCCAAATTCCTGAAACAGGACAGAGAATCAAGATCTCGCCACGAACTGCCATGAGCTTTAGATCCATCAACTCCTATCACCCAGGACGTGACAGTGCAGATGGCACACCGACTTGCGCCCACTGCCTGTGCATCCAAGGCAGTTACTTTGCACTCAGGCGCCACATTGAAACAGGTTGTTGCAAGTCCTTCAATGCTAATCGCCCCTTGGGAAGCCACATTCCTTTGACATGGCCAGAACTCATGACCATGGCCACGAACAACGAGACTGACCTCATCTTGCGCAAGCATGCTTTCGTTCAGGCACTTCGCTCAGTTTGTGCCTTGTGTGGCAGGCAATGCGCCAAACCTGGAGCTCTACTACAGCATCATTTGCAGGACCACGCCACCGTGGTTCATGAGGCGGCTGATCGTAGCACCAACTTGCAGAATCAAGCTGCTGCTTTGGGTAGACCATGCTACTGTGGAAACCGCATGGTTCGAAAGGGTCATCAGTGCGTGGTCTTCAACCAGATAGCAATGTTGCAAGTCACTGCAAGCAACAACACGAAGAACATCAAACCTGATGCTGACACCAAGCAGGAATCGTCCACTGCAGTGATCTTGAGCCAGGTTCCAAAGCATGACGAGGCAGAGTTGGAGGTCTACTGGGATCATCCTGATCTTCGTTCGAGCCTCAAAGTTCGTTGTCAACTATGTCAACTTCAGCTCTCCTTTGCTGAGCTTGAAACACATCTCATGACCAGTCATGCCACACTGGCTGCACCCGCTCTTGAGAAGTACCCAGATTGCATGAGTCCACGACTTGATTGCTGCCGCTTTTGCCTTGACTCAAACGGAATTGAAGAGTATTGCCCAGCGGCGCTACATTTGGCCTTTATCCGAGCTCACAAACAAGTGAGCCGCGCTCCATCCCTCTTAGATGGTGGGAACCTTCGAGATGAACGAGGACGACATGATGGGCCAAGTTCAGGACACTCTAGGGGGACTCTTCAGCAGTACTTCCAGGCCCAGCCAAAAGCGCGGCAGGCCAGAGGACCTCCAATCCGAGAATCAGGACACGCTGGAACAGATGCAGAAGGCCATGAGCCTCCTCACGGCTCTGACCTTGAGACACGAGTCTCAACTCCAGGCTCAGGCCTCCACAGACCAGTTCCTGTTCTTCTTTCAGATGAATCAGCACGGCATCCTTCCGGCATTGATGACTCAGGCCTCAACGTGGAAGAAAGACATGGAAATGCACAAAGTCAACAAGCCACTTCGGGTGGTCCTCTTCCAACAGGTCTGTCAGACCACCTTGGACAGGATGCTGGCGCTTGCAAAAGTATCCCAGAGCAGTTCAGAATGGGAACAGGCGATCAAGCAGCAGGTGATCACACCAGAAGGGAAGTGGCCCTACTTGCAATGGTGCAACGAGACGAAATGTCTCAAGCAGACAACAAAGTCACCACTCGACATGGTCAAGATGCAGAAACACTTGGAAGACCTTGTCGAGGCAGCGCAGGCGGAACATCATATCCTGAGGTTCAAGTCGTTGAAAAACACCTCCAAGGAGATCAAGCATCAGCAGGTCTGCCCGTTCCTGCTTCATCTCTCCCTTCGGGACAGTGCCCTGTGGGAAATTCTGAACCTGCTCTCCCACAACTCGATTTGGCTGGTGATCCAGGCGCGGGTTCGCCTGCACAGCCAGCGGGAGAACCCTTTGGCTACTACCTTAGCCAAATTCTCGAAGCAACAGGAAAGCCGAACGTCCTATGGCCGATCCAACAAGAGGAAGTGAAGGGCACCTTGATGGCGCTACGCCTCATCAACCCTGGCAATCTCTGCTTTGTCCATGCCAGCATTTTGGCCTTCTTTTGGGGATTTCTTCACCTACGCCGCGGCAAGTGGTCAGATCTTGGTGGGGCAGCCAGACTTCTGATGGACTTGTGTGGACGTAGCACGCCTTGGGTCGACATTCGTGATCTTGAAAGTTGGAGTCAATGGATCTCCAACTGGGATGATGGCATGCAACATGATGCCACCGAGTTCATGAAAGCTTTTTTGGCCTATACCAGGCCTCCTGCCTTGACAGGTTCGTGGACTCGAAAAGTCCAGTCTGATGAGCAAATCACAATCATGGATCGAGGTACGGCTTTTCTGCCACCATCCTTGACCACGAGTGATGCCACTGCTGAAAAAGTCTCGTTGCAAGCTCTCATCGATGAATGGCACACTTACATGGGCATGGTCACCGCTTTCGACGCTGATAGCCCCTTGCTGTGCTTCCAGATTGATCGCTTCAAACCTGACTCCCAAGGTACACCTGTGAAGGCCACCTGGCAGCTCGAGCTCTCCGTGGTTGAGATCTTGGTATCCCCTGACCCTATGAGTCTGGAAACTGAGGTATATGAATTTGTCCCCATCGCAGGGATTGTTCATCAAGGTCATGACCAACAAGGTCACCTACAAGGCGTTGGCCGAACAACCAAAGGCTGGGTGCTGTTTGACGACGGCAAAGAGTCGAGCTGCCTGCCGAATACCTCCATTCCGCGGCCGTCGGACTGGATTTGCGTGTGGTTGATCCGCCAAACACGGCACATTGAGGTCTTGCCCTCCTACTATACTCGAGGACACGATGCCAAAGTTCACCAAGTTGTTCAACTCCTTGACCAACAGAGCTGGCAAGAGTTGGAATCCAGGGAGGAGCTGATCCACTATTTTGCAGTTCACTGCGGCGCCTGCAGCCAGATATTCACTGACAAGGTCACACTCGCACGGCATGTCTTTCAGCGGCACTTTGGCCTTCGCTGGACATTGACCAGGCCCGCCGAGTTCCATGGTCTTGATCATCGAGGGCTTGAAACTCCTTGTTTGATGTGTGGCGCGGTGCCTTTGCTCACCCCCGGCATGACTTCGGTGCCCTCACATGGTTGCACTACAGTGCTCAACCTGGCCTTGGCAAAGGCCTATCACGAGGAGGAACTCAAAGCGCGAGGCGAGATCTTTGGTGCTCCGCGACCACCAGCTGAGCCTGTTTTGAACGACAGCTTAGGTTCCTGGCTTGCAATGGAAGACTAAGGCCACTAGGCCATGAGCCACTCAGCTGAATTGAGTGGAATTTTGAATGGAAGGAAGGTCGAAATGACCTGAAGGCGCGAGGATTTCCTCCGTGAGTGAATCTCACGTATGCCCACATAGCTCCAAGACATTGGAGATGAGCGCAAAGAAAGAAAGTAGCTTCTTAGCTACTAGCAGCTAGTAGCGATGCCAGGAGACCCTAGTAGCATCCTTGTTCCTAGTAGTACGGCCAGGAGACCGTAGCAGCTTCTTAGCTACTGGTAGCTAGTAGCGATGCCAGGAGCCCCTAGTAGAATCCTTGTTCCCAGTAGTAAGGCCAGGAGACCCTAGTAAGGAGCCCCTAGTAGCATCCTTGTTCCTAGTACTGTAGTACGGCCAGGAGACCCTAGTAGCTTCTTAGCTACTTGTAGCTAGTAGCGATGCCAGGAGCCCCTAGAGCCTCTAGTAGCTTCTTGCTCCTAGTAGCGATGCCAGGAGCCCCTAGTGGCATCCTTGTTCCTAGTAGTAGGGCCAGGTAGCTTCTTAGCTGCTAGTAGCTTCTTGCTCCTAGTAGCCATGCCAGGAGCCCCTAAGACCTCTAGGTAGCGATGCCAGGAGCCCCTAGTAGCATCCTTGTTCCTAGTAGTAAGGCCAGGAGCCCCTAGCTACTAGTAGCTGTAGCCATGCCAGGAGCCCCCAGAGCCTCTTGTAGCTTCTTGCTCCTAGTAGCGATGCCAGGAGCCCCTAGTAGCGTCCTTGTTCCTGGTAGTAAGGCCAAGAGCCCCTAATCTTTTTGGCTACTAGTAGCTTCTTGCTCCTAGCAACCATGCCAGGAGCCCCTGGAGCCTCTAGTAGCTTCTGCTCCTGGTAGCGATGCCAGGAGCCCTAGTAGCTTCTTAGCTACTAGTAACTAGTAGCTTCTTGCTCCTAGCAGCGATGCACTTTGTTACTAGTTACTACTACTTGCTATTGTGGTGTCCCTTCCTTTTTTCCTTTAGACCGTCAGACCTTTAGACTTTAGAATACTTTATCCGTTCTCTTCTGGAAAAAGACTCCTCTTTGAGTCTTCTTTGTTTGAGTGAAAAACACCCAAGTGTCCCACATTCATCCACTCGTCCGGGCGAGTCTGCAGCTGCCCAATCTGAGCCAGGTAAAGTAGGGTCGCAGCAATGAATTGTGGATAATGTTGACGAAACATTTAAAAGCATCTGAGAACCTTCAGATGAATCCTCCAAATATAGCCCCTCGGACCTCCACACTCCGAAAATAGAGCTCGCTTCTCCAGCTGGTGCTCTGCCGCGCGCGCAACCTGATATGTTAGAGGCTCCGTGGTTAGACCTAGTTTTTTGTGGTCATTCAACTTGAACCATTAAGCTCTTGCAGGTACCAACTACACTCTACCAACAGCATAGCAGCAGTGAGCGCAACACAGCAACAATCCCGGCACCTTCCATTGCTCAAATCAATCGATTGCCGACCTGGCTATCTGCTCAAGCTGCTCTTTGTCTCTATCAATCGAGTGAAGGAAGAGGGAAGACTTACTGGAGCTCCAAAGGAGGATGACAACACCAGCCGGATCCGCGATAGCCCAAAGGCGTACCACCAATCACCACAGGTGTATCATGATCCTGGCGAGACCATTGGGTGAAACTAGGATGCCAATGGGTGTCACGGGTCATCGCATAATCACTTTGCTTTGCGCAGTGGGGGCTGTGAGTTCATCTGTTTTGGACACCAAATAAGCCAGGCAGGCCAAGTAAAACCTCAGTTTAGGGAGCCCCACCCCACAGGAGTTCATGAGGGCACACCATCTGGTGTTGAAACTTGCGTCTGAAAGGCAAACAGGCAAAGTGGTTGTCCTCTGTCCAAGCGATGGCTTCTAGTCCAAGGTGCTGGTAGCAAAACCTCAAAAAGCCCTCGAAGAAGCAGAGTGCTAGCGAGAGGTTCCGCCTCAGAAAGAACTGCACCTTCTTGAGGCCGCAAACTGAAGCAGTCTGGTGACGTCCAGGTGCACGCCCTTTACTCAAACGGGGAAATGCAATCTAATCTTGGGTTTCAAGACTTGAAAACAACAAACCTCCGCTGAAGTTGGTTTCCACTGTCCTTCTGCAACTACCAAAACAAGCTTCCAATGCCCGCTCCAGAGAGAGCATCATCTGCCAGGGCGCTTTAGTCTGAAATGGCCAATCTTGAGGGTAAAGAGCCCGATGCAAGTGGCCTGCAGGTCTCGACATATCTTCCCCACTTCTCAGATTGGCCTGAAAATCACGTTTTCATGAATCATAGCTAGTTAGGAAGATGCTCTCTTGGGCATCCCCCAGACTGAAGGAGCGCTCGATGCTGCTCCCTACGCTCTTGACTGGTTTTCGTGTGATGTAACGTGTAGCAAAACGAAATCTGTCTGCTGCTTGCACCAGCTTTACCGGATCTCGTGCCTGGTAAACGCTGATGGCACTGTGAGGAACTTTGGCAGCGAATGCCTTCAAACATAGGATCTGAAGCTGGCGCACTGAGGAGTTTGCATGAATCCCAGCCTTCAGCAAGTGAATATAAGCATCAAAAGCCAAGACACCATCGGCACCGAACTTTGCCTGGTCAATACAGATGACCACCACACCACCCCCAAATCAAGCATTTCAAATAAGCCAAGGTGAACGCGGAAGGAGTGCTTGGTCACAAAGGAATGTAGAATTCTAAATGAAATGATGGGAACCGAAGGCAACACGAAGCTTCTGCAGAGCCGACCTCAAGCTGCTTCCTCACTTGAAGAAAGACCTTTCTGAATGCCTCCGGGACACAATCGCTTGCTCAACCCGAGAGTTTGTTTGCTGCTCAGAACATGCAACAGTTCCAGGGCCTCTTGTCTTTTGCGGAAACGTTGGAACCTGGACACAGTCACCAACGAGTCGCATTGAGCTACTGGACTTCTTCTGGACTTCTGGTGATTCCTCATTGCTAATCACTATATGAGATTGCACCACCCTGGTAATCTGCCAGGCTGGTCACTTATGAAGGTTAGACAGTCCTCCCTCTCGCCTCACTCTCTGCCCTAGTGACTCAATAAGCTCCAGACTGCACAGGACTTTCAATGCAAGTCAAATCGAGATACACCTGTCACCATTCCAAAGGATGCCACAAGGCATTGGTGTGTCTCGAAAACTTGGAACATCTTGGAACCAACCGAATCTCAATCAAAGACTGGACAAAGAAGACCTGATGAAGACGTCTGAAGAAAACAAGCTTGAAAGGCCTTGATTGCACAACAAGGTCACCCTTCACGATTACTAGGTGGCCAAAGAACTTATGTAACCAGAACTCAAACGAATAAGGGGACATATGGGCATGCCCAACCAACAGGCTTGGTGGATTTGGATTTTGGACCCTCTCAATTGCATGTCGACAATTTGATGTCAACAAGAGTTGCGTGGTAGGGTCGCCTTGACATTACCGTCAACTTCTGGTCATGATTGGAACCCAAAACACAAAAATAACACAAGTCAAGGCCTTCTCTTGCTTGTCTCTGGAATCTCCGTCGGAGTCCTGCAGAGGATGTCAATACTCTCTGAATGGTCCATTTTCCGGTGCCTGTTTGGTTCAGATTCTTAACGTCACTTTGTTTCGATAAAGAGTTCGACATCCCCACCTTGCATAATGCACTGGACAAGGCAACAAGGACCCATTCGTTAGCGTGCCAAGGCATTGCAAGCTCCTCTTCAAAGCTTCCCAAGAGGGTGAACTGTGTGGAAGAAAACTTATGCACCTGAAGGATGGTCAGCTTTGCTTTTCATTTCGACACTTGCCTTCCACATCCATCCAAACGTTTAAAAAAGGCACTACAACACTACCCATCACCCAAAGTCAATTCTGCGCTGTGCACAGAAAAGCCCGTTCCAAGTCGTTGGCCTGGACTTGTCCAACCAATCTCCAGTTGTCCTTCCAGTGCACACTGTAAAATCTGCAGGATGTGTGCTCTGAAAATCAGTGAGGCCAATAAATGAGATGATAATAGAAGGGCCCGTAGGTGAAGGAACATCAGAGACTTCAGCACCTGCAAACCATGAAATTACTAGTAACAAGTGCATCTCTACTAGTAACAAGGGCATTACTCCTAGTAGCAAGAAGCACTAGTAGCTCCTGGCGTTACTACTAGGAACAAGAAGCTACTAGTAATAAGGACATTACTACTAGTGACAAGGACGCTACTAATAGCGATGCCCTTGTTCCTAGTAGAGATGCCCTTGTGACTAAGCAACGTACAACTGCTGCTTCGACATCTCCTTCGAGCAAAGTTGCTTGACAATCGCAGACGGTGCGACGTCTTTCCTGCCAACGGCCAAGCACTTCTGGACCATAAAGCTATGTTGCAGTCAATGGCAGTGAAAAGCCACATACAAACTTGAAAGCCTCAGCATCAAATCAAGTCCACACAGGGTGTCTGCTACTGGCTGATGCACAGCAAACCAATCGAATTAGAAGGAACCAGCCAATTCAGACATGCTTCAAATGCATTTGCTGAGGGCTTCTAGTAATCTCATTGTAGGTCGTGGTCAAGTGAGTGTTTGAGACACAAGCTATGGGTAGAAGTTGTAAGCGATCAAAGTTTGCACTATATTAAGGTCCTCATGTCGACCACGAAATCCACATCCGACTGGCCGTTCACGTAGCACACGGGTCCATCCTCCAAAGCACGACAAAGTGTTCTTCCCAGCAAAGGCCATCAGAAACATTCAGAAACAAAGACAAGAGATGTCACCCGAAAATGGGGCATCAGGACACAATGATCAAGGCACTGACATGTCTGAAAGCTGTGTCTGAAGATCACATCGAGACAATAGTGCTGCTAATAAACAAGAATCTATCAAACGTGAGGAATGCGGAGTGGTAGTTGAAAGCGCATGCAGTCCTTTCAAGTATCCCACATAATGGTGTTGAAAAAAAGGTACTCAAAGGAAGTTCGCTGATGTTGACCAAACTCAGGTTGTTCGCAGTTTTCATGAATACCAATGTCACAAATCCTGCTTGGCAACATTTTTTGTTGCACTTGCTACACCAGCAATGCTCTGGTGCTTCCACTGCCAGTTCCACCCCATTTTCGCTTGAGCCTGATCCCGCCACTGTGCCGATCCTGTCCTGAAGGTGGGGCAGGAATTGAGTGTAAGTGTAAGTCACCAAGAAAAATCTCAACTCCACTGGACTCTTTGGGTCCTTGGGGTCAGGAGTTCCTTGATAGCTTGGAAGTGGGTTCATTTTTCTGGACTCTGCATGCCAGTTGTCGCATCCTGTGGTGCCTATGGTTGAGAACCGTGCAAACACCTGTATACTTACATGATTGACGAGAGTGCTGGATCACCCAATTTCAATGCTACTAGTAGCTACTAGTAACAAGGGCATCGCTACTAGTAGCTTCTTGTAGTAATGCACTTGTTACATCTTGCTACTAGTAGTAGTAGTAGTAGTAGTAGTAGTAGTAGTAGTAGTAGTAGTAGCGATGCACTTGTTACTAGCGACTGCCCCCCCAAACCGCTGTCATCTGGGTGGCCGCGCCCCAACGCCAAAGAGCCATAGAGCTCTGCAGAATTGGCCAACGGAGGGTCTTGGGAGCGGTGCTTGTCGTCCACCACAAATGGTTTCCAATACATGAAGATCTTATTCAAAGTCCAAGTGCTCTGGCAAAGTTTATTTTCTGAAGACTCACTCATGCTGCATCAGTCTACATTGACAAGGTGGCAGGTTCGACGTGAAAACCGCTTGCCCGAAAGTTGTAGCAAACGGTGAGATTTTGCCCTACCGTGGGCACTCTGAGATGATGCATTGCCGGCTGCTCAAAAATACCCGCAGCGCCCACAAATGAAGCAGGAAGCAAACAATTGCAGAACTGCAATATTGGAGTTGCTAACCCTTGAAACGTTCCCCACAACTAGACTCGATGAGTGTTCCAAAATGTCCAAGGTCCCCTAAATCTAGAGAACAAAACAACATGTTTGGGAGAAAGAACAAAACGTTGTCTATTGAGGTGCTGGCCATTGGCCATCAGAATTTCGGGCAAGCGCTGCGCCGTCTCAAGCAAGTGCTTGTGTTTCTCCGGCGGCGCAGCCAGCACCTGCTGATGATGCTCTGGGCTCCCAACTAGAGATGGTGGTCCGCATCTGTACTAAAGGTTTTTTGCATGATGATGTTTCCTTGTTGAGTCTAAACTTACTCCAAATATCTCCAAATATGTTTCATTTGTTCAACTCAACATGAGCTGCAGTGCCCTCAAAGCCAATGAAGGCACTAAAGTCACTAAAGGAAAACAGCAGCATATATGGCCTCAAGAGCTTCCAGTGGCAAGGTTTCAGGGGAAACTGAGCCTCTGGCCGTGATGATCTCCCGATCGGAAAAATATGGATTGCGCTCCCCACATCCTGCCATCATGGGACTCTGGAGGACTGAGCCTCTGGGCACCAACCTCATAGCAATGGCCTCCAACCTACTAGCGATGGCCTCTCCAACCTACTATACCTCCAACCTACTAGCGATAACCTTCAACCTACCAGCGATGGCCTCTCCAACCTACTAGCGATGGCCTCCAACCAAATAGCGATCCAACCTACTAGCGACGGCCTCCAACCTAATACCGATCCAACCTACTAGCAATGGCCTCCAACCTACTGGCGATGGCCTCTCCAACCTACTATACCTCCAACCTACTAGCCATGGCCTTCAACCTACCAGCGATGGCCTCTCCAACCTACTAGCGATGGCCTCCAACCTAATAGCGATCCAACCTACTAGCGATGGCCTCCAACCTAATACCGATCCAACCTACTAGCGATGGCCTTCAACCTACTAGCGATGGCCTCTCCAACCTACTAGCGATGGCCTTCAACCTACCAGCGATGGCCTCTCCAACCTACTAGCGATGGCCTCCAACCTAATAGC